ATAGGGAGACCTAACTCAGAAACAAACTTTTTCATGTTGTAGTAAGTATCGGGAAGACAATGGTCACGAGGTAACATACTACCAACTGAGTCTAATATTTTGGACGTGCAGCTCTCAGATAGGTTATATTGTGACTTTATGTTAAGAAATTCAGAAACTGCTGATAATTGGGAATGATCATAACAATCATAATATAAAGGCTGATCCGCACTTTTGAGCACTTCTTGAAATCTAGTGCCTAACACATCCACATCATAATATGATGAACTTGGTCCTTCGTTCACATTATTGTGTGCGTTGAATTCACTATCCGTGTGGATATTAGGAAACGTAGAAGGACGAGCCAAATCATAAAGCATTTTTTGTTCCCATACCATTTCTTCATAATTTCCCCAATTAGCCATCTCGTCGGGAACATACCTCGATGTTCCTACGTTTTGCGGCAACAACTCAGGCTCAATTGGTTCTCCTTGAGAAGTTCAATTGTAGTAGTTTTCAACAAAACCATGTGTATATAAATGCCAATAAACCTCCCCACCTTCAACAAATTTGTTATTTTTACGATCTGTACAAGGACATCTTATTTTATCTCCATCCATATAGCGTGTTTGCCCTTGTGCGAATCTAATAAATTCGTTAACTCCATTTTCGAACTCTTTTTTCAATCCTCTATCATTTTCCTTGTAGCGGTCATACATCCAACTTCTAGTTTGTCTATACATTGTGCCTGAATATTAAAAAATATCTTAATGATTTTTTTTGACAGTATATCTTAACGAAATTAATTAATTAAATTTACAAATTAACGTCTCACATTGTATCTCACAAATTTACAAAATATCTTAATGATTTTTTTTATAGTACATCCAACCTCTACATTGTATATCTCACGTTTTAAAGCTAACACTACAATTCAATCAATATAACTAAGACAAATACTACTGATAACAACTCGTAATATGGATATGATCAAATTAATTTAAAAACAGAATGGTCAAAATTTACATACCTTAAGTACAACGACGATACCAAGTAATACGAGTATAAAGTAAGAAATCCAAGTAGAAACCTCCAGATATCAAGTAATATAACTTCCAACTTCTATTCAGAATTTATCATACACAAATATTAAAGAGATCATTTTGAGAGATGTAGTATGTTTCACACACCAAGCATGTATTTGTAGAATTAGTAGGCACGGATCTTGGGACGGAAATACACCAGCCAAAACGTACCAACGGCCTTCATTGTCTAGGATATTGGCACGAAAATTCATTGAGGCAGAATGTGGGACGAGCAAATTAACGGTTATATTTTGGCATGGCTTTTGGGTTCGATATACGCCTGCCAACATAACGGTTACATTTTAGCACGGATATAAGGACGGAAAGGGGATGAGCTGAATTTGATGCGGCGTTGGCGCGGATGTAGGCACGGAAACGGTTGGCACGGAATTGAACCGCACCAACTTCAAAGAAAAAGCGCCACCCGTTGGGTCGGGCATAGTTCTCTGCCAAATTGTCTCGGAATTTGCGAAGGATATAGCCACAAGCCAAATGATTTGAAGTTTTTTCAGTCTTGGCACGGAAGTAGGGTCGGAAAGTCCGAGACAACCTACGTGGAACGGATTTATCCGTGCCAGAGGCGGAAAAAAATCGACTATTTGGGCTTTCCGTGCCAATATCTGCGCCAAAATTGTCTAGGATATGTTTCGTGCCTAAATCCGTGTCTATAACGAGTTTTTTGGTAGTGTTTACCGGTTCAATTTTTTACTGTTTCTGTTTTTTATTTTCGATCTATTACAATTCGCACCCCGAACCGACAAAAAATGGTTCAAATTTCATTTTTTACGGGTAAACAACCGGTCATATTTTTAGTTTTTTTACTGTTTCTGTTTTTTATTTATTTATTACAATTTTGACACTTTTTAGTGGTTTAATAGTTGTCGCAGATTCATTATACTACTAATTCAACTTAAATAAACTTCTGTTCACTGTTATTCATTTGTACTAATTAATATTTACCAGAATGATATATTTTCAAAGCATTCATATTAGGGTTGGACTACTGGACCCTTTATAACAATCTGCCTATTTATAAGTTTAAAAGATTTTAAATTGTGTGGTAAGTATAAACTTTAAACAATCTGAAGTTAAACATTCACCTTTAGTAAAACTAGGGTGAAACGGTGGAATGTTACCTCATTGTTGGACTTCTCATATGCTTTCAGACTCGCATCATCGCCCAAGTTTTCACTGCGATTTGAAAAATAAAATATTAGATATCATTACGCATAAAATAGTTGTTAAATTTATTTTCAGATTAAGCAAACAAAATTTACCTAGAAGAAATTTGAATCACAATTGCATCATTCTTGTTTTGCTTGATCTTGATGGAAGATGTGCAAGAATCCTCATCTAAATTGATGATTTTTGCCCGTTTTGATGAAACGGTCTCTTTGTTGACGGCTAGTGTATGGGGGTTAAGAGGCAAGTTTTGTTTCATGGTTGCAGGGTTGAGGTATAGTTTGCTGGAGTTTGGTTGGATGGTTGCAAGGTCCCCGGGGTCCCCGTCTTGCTTCCTTGTGCTCTGCTTTGTCTCCGGGGTCTTTAAATCACCCATTTATGCTTCCGAGATTCTTCAAAATGCTCGGTTTTCACTCTATTACAATGCTCAAATCTTTCTCATGGTTCCTACAACTGAAATATTGCACAAGTAAAACCAAAGTGGGAGCTAAATCATCAAAAGCTAACAAACAAAGACCAAATTTTATGAGAAAGTATTAGGTTTTTTCACACCTAGAGCTATCTCGGTCGCAAACTCAGTTAGTAATAACGGTATGAGAAATGTCTTGATCCTAATCTTGTTCCATTTAAATTGGGGCCAGTATGAATCGACACATATCAGAATGTCGCAAGCTAACAAAAGATAAGTTTACAAAAAAGTCTATTACCATTTTATAGTATATATGCACAAAAAATAACATTATTACCATGAATAAATGTTAATAATAATGTTTCAATTAAAAAAATGCTTCTTTGTATCAAACTTTAACTAAGTTCAGCAAAAACCACTCTAATCTAACAAACAATCAATATAAAATTTAAAACTGTCAATTGTGCCCTCCTACTATGCGCGATCCGTCAATGGAGTCCCCGTACTTTGGAAACCCTCAATTGAACCCGCCAACAATGAAAATCCTGTCAATTAGGTCTACATAACCGGATGCTTCCCGGTTAGCCCGTTGCTCGCTCACGTGGACATCGCTGTAGCCCTAATTCCTTTGCTGACATGGATTTAAAATTTCCACATCACTTAATGACTCTATCCTTTCCCGGTTATCCCTAATTCCTTCCTTAATTCGAATTCGCATGTGTATCAGAAGCAAACCATCTAAGCGCTCTTCAAGGCTGTTCATCCATTTTTCTTCGTCGAGTTGAATAACAGATAGTCCAGGTTAACTTTGTTATGATTTCACTTGTACTGTTTCTTACTGGTTCCATCAGCCCTTAGTCTGATTTGAATCTTTTCAAATGTGCAGCATGTCCGACAAGGTGGAACTTATAATTCACCGTGGAGGCAATTTTAAGTGTGTTCCTGAATCAATGTACGTTGGTGGTGAAGTTGATGTGCTACGCATAGACCCAGATTTGATTTGCTATCCTCATTTAATGAAGTGCTTAAAAACAGGAAGGTATGGTAACATTAAGGCTTTGTATTACAAAAAACCTAGCCAATGTATGAAATCTTTAAGAGAGCTGTTTGATGATAAGTCAACCCTAGATTTGATACGTCTGGCTACTAGTTGTGGTAAGTGTGACATATTTGTGGAGCATGGGTTAGATGAAGCGGAAGAAATAGGTGGGGAGTATGATGGAACTACAAACAATGAGGTTGAAGAGACAGATTATTCATGGAAGCCAGAAGAAGGTGACACAGATGACTCATTGATGGAAGACGCATCTGAGACATATGATAGTGAAAATGAAGAGACAGAAAATGAAGGATTATTTGATAATGAGGTTGCATCTGATCACACTGCTACACAAATGGGGGGAACCAGAGCTGAAGACAGTGAAAATGAGGAGGTTTCCACAGAGTATGACTCATCTAATCCCAATAGCTACATGACTGAGTCTGAGGATGATGATGGGACATCTAAAATGGCAAGCAAAAGGTATGGGTCATTTAACCCTGAGTCTGAGGTCCCTAAATTTGAAGTAGGGATGTATTTTGAAGATGGAAAGCAATTTAAGAAAGCTGTGATTAAATATGCTGTATTTGAGAAAAGGGATTTGTATTTTAAGAAAAATGAACCTCGGAGAGTGAGAGTAAAATGTGGGAAAAAGTGCTCCTTTTCTTTAACTGGTTCATGGGTGGAAAGACTGCAGTGTTTTCAAGTTAAAGTTTTCAAGGAGGGACATAATTGTAACTTGAGGTATAGGCTTAGAATTGTTTGCACAAAATGGGTGGCTGACATGTATTCAGACAAAGTTGCTGAGAATCCCTCTATAGGTGCTATGGAATTAAAAAGGCTGATCAAGGCTGAGTATAAACTAAATGTGTCTGAAAGCATGGCCTCAAGAGCTTTGAAATGTATTGAAGAGAAAAATGAAACTGCTTTTAAGGAGCAGTTCAAAAAAATTAGGAACTATGCAGAGGAATGCCTTCAATCCATTCCAAACAGCACTATTATCATATCAACTGTAAGAGTGGTTCCTGATGCACCTAGTGTTTTCCAGCGCATATATGTTTGCTTTGGGTCTGTGAAGAAAGGTTTTCTAGAAGGGTGTAGGAAGGTAATTAGTGTGGATGGATGCTTTTTGAAAGGACAATTGAAGGAAGAGATATTGAGTGCTGTAGGCAGAGACGCAAATAACCAAATGTATCCAATAGCTTGGGCCGTGGTTGAGATTGAGAACACCTCTTCCTGGATTTGGTTTTTGGATTTGTCGTATAAGACTTGGATGTTACTGCCCCATAAATCGGTACACTGACGAGAAACACACATAATTAAGACTTGAGAGAAACATTACAAGAGCGGGTGGCAATAATAATAATTGCAGAAATGGCGACACAGCCCGTAATGAATGAACAAAAGTACAAAACTACTAAAGTGAAGCGGGAGAGAGCAAATCCCAGAAATCATCCACAGTTTCCATGATATAAGAAGTTCCCAATGAGTATTTCTTATTTGCAGTCTGCCTTTTCTGAGTTCCCTTCTAAGCTTTTAGGGAAGCGAAGATCTCTGGAGCTTATCCTATTGGGAAAAAATCAAGAACATATTTTTACTCCCAAAGAGCAGTTCTTGAACATCCCACCTCAAGCGGCTGCTACTTCTTCTGCAGCTAATTCTGGTATATTAACTCCTTATTTGGCCATTTATGGCTTTCTCAAACAATGTTTTAACAGAGAAACCTTTACAACTGTATAGTCTGTTGTGGAATTTCTTTTTGGCTGAATTTTAAAACTAACTTATTTTACTGTTTATTGGACTATAATTTAATCTTAAGTGGTCTAGTTTAACTAGTTTGTGTGAACTGTGAACAGGCTTGTTTATGTCATTGTCATGTTTAGTACTCCCTCCGTCCCGCTAAGATTGTCTCATTTTACCTTTTTGGTCCGTCCCACTAAGATTGTCTCATACCTTATTTGGTAAAATTTGTGTGGTGCTAAATCATTCTTATTTTATTGTTACTTTATCAATTCAATATTAACCACATAAACTCACTTTTATTAATAATCGTGTCACCTTCTCTTGTCCCAAACTTAGGGGGACGGAGGTAGTATTTCCCTCGTTGTCTCTAAGTAACACAAACTCTACTTCCTAGTTTGCTACAAAATGATCCTCATTTTCTTCTAAAAAACATCATGCAATTCATACTAGTATGGAGTATTATTTATGTGTTCTCTATATAAATTTCTAGCAAATACTTTTACTTTTTAGGAAAAGATTCAATTAAATCTTTCTACCATTTTCAATCCATCACCACTCTTATACTAAAAAGATGTCATATAAGTACGCTTATTCTAAAAAATGATTAATTCTATTCATTGTCTTTGACGTATTATAGGGGTTGAAAAAATCTTAAAAAATTGAAAATATAGTAAAAAAACATAAAAAAATTAAGAATGTCAAAATTTATATCTTTTTCATTTTTGAATAATTTGTATATTCTACATTTTCTTTAAAAAATACGTTTGAATTTATATTTATTACATTTTCACTTTATTTTTGCTTTTTTTTGTTTTTAAATCATTTAAATTATTTATCTATTTTTGGCATTTCATATTTTTATTTCTATGTTTTCAAATTTATATGAATTCTGTAAGAATTATCAATTGTTTTAATTTAATTTTAAATTAACCTGTTATAGCCGGTCAAATTGGTTGGCAGGGCTGTGTTTTCACGGTAAGAATGTTTTTACTTGGACTGAAATTTGCTGGTCTGGTAAATGTATGGTCTCTATGTATTTTATAACTATTCAAGTCTATTCTGGTTTGATCTTGTTTGATCTAGTCTGGTACAATCTTGTTTGGTCTGGTCTGGTCTGGGACTGAAAATAGTTCATGTAAAAACATCCTAAGTGCACTTTTATCATACTTTTTTTAGTATATGGCTCAAGAGATGGGTTTGAAACGGTAGAAGGGTCTATTTGAACCTTTTCCCTAACTTCTTTAATCACTATGCCCGGTCAATTTAGGGATGGAGGGTTATTACAAAAATACAAAATGCTGGTCAGATTTGGTAATATCAACCTAAGTCTAGTATGCTCAGAGTGTGGCTGTTAACGAACCAAGCTTTTATTGAACTATTCGAGTTCGAGCTCGGTTTCGAACCTAACGAGCCGAGCTTAACGAGCTTTCGAATTCGAACCCAAGCTGAGTTTGAAGTTCGAAAACTTAATCGAGCTGAGCTCGAACATAGTAGTATTCGGCTCGGTTGGAACTCGAGCCTATTGAACACCTGAAATTATAAATATACTTTATATATATTTCAAAATTTAAATATAATTAGTATGATTTTATGAATTTAAATATGATTATTAACGAATTGAATACTTGTCGAATCATTCGAGCACGAGCCTATTAACGAGTATCACCTATTTTTTTTAATCCGAGCATATTTATCGAGCTTATCGAGCGCTCGTTTCGAACATCGAATGCCTATCAAGCCGAACACGAGCCTCATTTGTAAAGCTCGTCGAGCTTCGAGCTCGAACCCAAACACCACTAAAGATGTTTTTACTTGGACTGTAATTTGCTGGTCTGGTCTGGTCTGATCTGGTCTGAACTGGTCTCGTCTGGTCTGGTTTCTTTGTATTTTTATAACTATCCAAGTCTGGTCTGAACTGGTCTGGTCTGATCTGGTCTGGTCTGGGACGAATTACAGTCCAAGTAAAAATATCCTAATTCTTTATCGAGCCGAACTCGAGCTTTGGGAGTTCGGGCTCGGCTCGGCTCGTTAACAGCCCTAGCTCAGAGTGTGAAATATATCCAAGTGCATGTGTCCTTAATTGAAGTGTTTGTATGATTGTATGTTTGTATCACATCTATTAAATCCTAATTAATAAACCAATATATAACATGAGCTACTCCTAATGCCTCAAAATATAATATGACATGAGAAGCGGGTGGGTCCGATGGTGGGTTGTGTGTTTGCTTTTTGTCCCACAAGCATGATTAAAGTATATATTTGTACACACATCAAGTTTTTTGGTTGAAATGAATATCAATGATAGTATTACCATCATTTCAGTTAATACATTACTTGAATTTATTTATTTATTTTACAATAAAATTTTACGCAATCCAGCTCATTCCTCTAGCTCAAGTATTTCCGCTATAGTATCAGCAAATGCAACCAATTCTTGGCTCACCAAAGGGACTCTGCATACAAATCTCAGACTACTGTAATTTATTGTTTTGATATTGTAGTTAATCTTTTTATATACTTTTTGTTGCTTTTGTCAGTCTGGTTATGTTAAAGATCCAAAGAGAAGAAAGTACAGGAACATAGTACTGATAGTAGTTTCTTTAGACTAATATTTTAAAGAAGAAATCATAATGCCAAAGAAGTCCATTTAGTATGTAGTTGTTCATGTTTTTTGTCTTACTATTTGATGCTTCCAGAGCATATGTTTGGTGCAAGAAGGAAACTGAGAAGGCATATAGCTGGAATAGACCAGGATGAATTGCTAGAACCAGCACTTTTGGCTGATCCTGATAGCTGTTTTTGTGAATTTAATGGAGTAGAGATACACCATAAGATTTGTGATGCAGAAGAATCTAACATGTCAGCAGAAGGGAGAAGAATGGAGTTTCCTATCATTCTGTTACATGGTTTTGGAGCCTCTGTTTTTTCTTGGAACCGGGTCATGAAACCACTTGCCCGAATCAGCGGTACGAAAGTGCTTGCCTTTGATAGACCAGCGTTTGGTTTGACATCAAGACCGAGTCTTATTGTAAAATCATCTCCTGAAAATGGTGATGATAGAGCTCTTAATCCTTACTCTATGGCGTTCTCTGTGCATGCAACACTACACTTCATTAAATTCTTGGCACTTGATAAAGCGATTCTTATGGGGTATGTTCTGTTTTATTTCTTTTGTTCAACTTCATTTTCCAATTTTGCATAGCTTGTCCTTCAAGTAATATGAGAAGGATGCTACAAGACATTAGAGAATGACATGACATGGCTTTGCCTTTGAGTTCTTATTCCTCTTGCTATCCGTAGTCACACTTTTCAAGGCCTTTATTAAAAGAAATCTCACATCGATCAAATATAAGTGAATAAACCATATAAGAAGTTTTGGACAATCCTAATGTCTTGAGGGTTTTGGGATTGAGTTAGAACCAATCTCATTCTTTATTTTTTCGGTGTTGCACGGCTTTTGAGGAGGGGGAGACTAAGTTTTCACATTTCATACGAGGATTCAATTATAATTTTATAAGTGGCCATCTGCTTAGATTAAAAATGGGTTGATTGTTAACTTGAGAGGTAGTCTTCCATATACAAATATTAATGGAGATATTAGTTTTTATAAAGTTTTGAGTATGACTAACTAATCGATTGGATTCAATAAGTTATTGAACTCTGGGGTCAAATTACAAATGCCATTGCCTTTCTCCAACAATGAGTTATCTACTCCCTCCATTAGTCCCATATTAGCCAATAATTTTGTCCCAAAATAATTGTCATTTCAGGAATTCAATGCATATTTTGTACTCATCTCCCAAATTTACCTTTATTGACTTTTGCCATACTAGACATTATTTTGCATTGACAGGATATAAGTACCATTAAATGTTGAATTTTTAGATGCACAGAAATGTATTTTTTAATACTCCTTGGTACAAGTACACTTTTGTAATATGTCAATTAAGTTGAAACATAGAATACTAAATAACTAAACGGTTAAGGATAGATAAAGTTAGCATTTTTTTTCTAAAGCCACATAGGGACATGATATTAAATACATGAAGACTTAAGTAAACTTGTTTCTGAAACGAATAAATGCATGAATGCATGACCTTGTATTTGTATCTTGCATTCTAAAAGCTAAAACGTTTGATACAAAATTAATGAGGAACCAGACACTCTGCGGGTTCCCTTGTAGCAGTTGAGGCATATTTTGAAGCACCCGAGCGTGTAGCTGCACTTATTCTTGTTGCCCCTGCCATTTTTGCACCATTTACCTCACCTAAACAAGGCCGAAATGGACGAAAAAGTCATACAGAAAACGGGAACTCAGATTCATCAGGCAATAAAAAGAATGCGTTTTGGAGGATTTTGACCATTTTATCAAAGTTTACCAAATATGTCGCACAAGCAATAACAGGCATTGTCAAAGGAAAGGGGAAAATAATGAATTCTCTATATAGAAAAGCATTAGCAGCTCTCCTACGCTCTGCTGTTGGCCTATTGCTGGTAATGAAATATGTTCTATATATGTTTGATTTGCATTATTTACTTACAATGTTCCACAATATTTTACTTTAATTGCATACTTTTATCAAAATTTGGAAGCATGCATTAGTTTCATCCACTTGTTCCAGCTAATTTTTTTAGTATAGAGATTTGCATTTTTGATTGATAACTTGAAAAGTCCTTCAGACCAGGATTAAATTAGTATATTTCAACACGATGATTGATGTGAAAAAGTTTATCAGATTGTTGTGCTTAATTAATTGGTTAAATATGCATTTGCTTCAAATTATCTGCTCGTTTTCAGGTAAGAATGATAATTGATAAGTTTGGAGTAGCGGCTGTTCGGAATTCCTGGTATGACCCCAAGCAAGTGACTGACCATATCTTACAAGGCTACACAAAGGTGAGTCTAATCAGTCTACTAAAAGAGTATCTGTTCTTACGGAGTATTATTTTTTTGGGAAATTCCAGGCAAAATACCCTATGTAAATTGCATATATACTGCTTTTAATGGGACCACTTTTATTTACAAAAAAACATATTTTCCTTTAAATCCACTTTTGACGTAAGCACATCCAAACAAGCCCTGTGCCTTTTCAGTTATATGGTATGTGCAAAAACGGTATGCATATATAGTCATCTTAATCTGTCATACTATCAAATTTGCAGCCTCTGAGAGTGAAAGGATGGGATGCGGCTCTTGTTGAACACACAGTGGCAATGTTTACAGATTCAAAGTTGGTATCAAAGCCACCACTTTCAGAAAGATTGAGTGAAATCTCATGTCCAGGTTATTAATCATTTTACTCTTTTCTTTGAATGAGTTGGCATGAAAGTAGAGACTTACATTTGCCGGATTGAAAGACTTTGGGATAAAAGTGATTATGATTCACAAACTCTTTATATGGCCAATTAATAGGAGCAAGAACGGTGTAATCAAAAGCAAAATGTGATGATGAGTTTAGTAATTAGAATCAAATGTTTTTAATGAAGATAATTATTTAAAAACTATCACTCATTTGATATTTATTTTGCTTTAAGTGTTGATCATCACGGGAGACAGAGACCGACTAGTCCCTGCTTGGAACTCTGAAAGACTGTCCCGAGCTATTCCGGGAGCTTGCTATGAAATAATCAAGAATTCTGGTCACTTGCCTCATGAAGAGAAAGTGGAAGAGTTTATATCTATTGTGGACAGATTTTTGCATAGGGTGCTTGGTGGGGTGGATCAACAACACATACAAGCAGTAACCTAAAAATAGTAAGAACCACAACCAAGTCTTAGCTCTTATTTGGTTTGGATGGGTGGAAGGAGTGAAGCTGGTAAGCTGGAGGAGTGTTGTGTGTTTGGTTAGTTGGGGGAGATATGGGATAATAAGGGGCAGGGGAGGGGATGAGTTACAGATTCCTTGTAACTCATATCTCACTCCATTAATTTGAGATACTTGGGAAGAGTTGTAATTTCTTAATTTATTTTCCAATTTTTACCAAAATTGTTATGCATTGTTATTAGGTTTTATTGCATCAAACTCTTTCGATATACAAATTATGCACACTGATACCTGGTGCTTTAAGAAATGTGTCAAACCCCTCGTATTGTAATTAATCATGTGCATAACACCCTAAAACAACAAATTTATGAGTACTGAAATCACGTATCTCATTGCTGTGATTGTGTACTTGTAGTAAGTTGGAGTCACATTTAAGTTCATAAGTTCAATTTCACCAATTTTTAGGAAACCCTCTTATCTTTTATAGTTTTATGTTAAAAATGTCAGTGGATGAGTTGAATTATGTTACATTATTTCATTTATTTGTTAATTCACTCGGTTATGCTGAATGTGTGTACAATTCTTTTCATAAATTATCCAATTAAATCTGAATCTATATACAGTAGTTGAAGAGATGATCACAACAATATCAGACTAAGAACTCATGAGAGACCAAGGGAATTTGGTGACTAACAGAATCTGAATTTAGATTGCTTAAAAAGAAGACATGGAAACCAAGAAATCAAAAGTTCAAAACCAGTGGTACTAAAAGCTTGTTTTAATCTTATTCAGTCAAGAAGTTGTAGACAATGGAGTGCTTGGGTAATGGAAAGAACATGAAACATGCAGAAAAAACAACCTAATTAGATTGGGGTACTTTGCTAAAGAACATCTTGGCAAACTCCACAAACTTGTCAGCTGGAGCCTGGAGGTAAGACATCTTTAACAGCATCATTAACAACAAAGTTGTCAACCCAACTGGACAAATTGGGAAACTTGGTTTCGTCAAACAGTTTAACGTCGTTAAACTCATCGGTCACCTTGAACCAACCTATGAGGCTTCCCAAAGCAATGTCGAGATACTCAATCCTATCTCCGCCAAAGAACTTCTTGCCTTTGCTGCAACCCTTGAAGATATCCTCCAATGGAGCTAATGCTTCAACAAGGTTACATATGACCTCTTTCTCGACTCCTTTGACCCCCGCGAGTGATATACTTCGTGAAATCGGAAATATCTAAACAATAGTAGTTAAATAACATATTTCACGTCGATCAAATATAAAGATACAAAGTATTTGATAATGCGTTAAACTACTTTTCTACAAATGTAAACACATACCTTATCATCGATGTAAACGGACCAAAACTTGGTAACGGCTCGACCATAAAGATCACAAGGGAAGATGGGGGATCCAGAGGTATTCCAAACATCACCGATATACTGAGCAATGATTATAGATTCGCAGATAGGTTTGTCATTATGAACCAAGACTGGTATTTTCTTGTTAACGGGGTTTAACTCTAGGAGAAGCTCACTCTTAGACATGAATGTCTCCTCAATAAAATCATAGTCTACTGACTTAAGGTTAAGAGCCACTCTAACACGAATTACAAAAGGGCTCCACCATACGCCTAACAACTTAACATTGTTGGATGTCATTACCAAGATCTATCTAACACAATTTTTTAAACCGAAAGAGAGAGAGAATAAAAACTGAGTTTATAAAAGTCAAGTTTTTGTGTCAATTTATACATGCACAAAGTTATGAGATCAAACCCCTGTCACTTCTTACACATCCGGTTTTGGTCAATGTGCCAACTATATCATTTATTGGTCGCCTTTATAATTAAGACAGATTCATGCATGTCTATGTGTGGACCAGTGATGTAAAATGGCGGGGCCTGGGGCTAAACTAAATAAAATTATCTCTGTTATACAATGGGAAAAAGGTTAACAATAATTTGGAAGAAAAATGAGGATTTATTTCTTTTAACTGTGTTGTCATACAAATGAAAGAGAAATCTTCATTAATTAGGTAAATGTTTAATCTCTTTTGGATTAAGTTCTCACTTTGAGTCACGGAAACAGTATCAAACAAATTGTAATTAGACTTCGTGATTATGTTTCACAGTGTGGCACTGTGGACAATGGTTTACTTTATCCTTGTGTTCCAAAAAGATAGAGTTCCCAACCCCAAGGGCCCCATGGCTCTGATTCGACAAGGCATTTGGGATGTTATAAGTCATGCTGACTCAGTCAGCCCAATGGTAGTAGGTTTTGTACACGTGTACAACAGAGGTCCAATCCAGCACACATGAGAGTTGTAACCTCCACACGGCCGTTGTCGGTTTTGATCCTTGTTCAGTGTTCCAACTTTCCCGCCACTCAATCAACTGAGCTACTTGTGCGGGTATGATTTACCTTATCCAATTTAAAAGAGAAGATGTATTGCCCCTTTACTACACAAAACTCATCACGCATATCCTTCTTCATTTATTGATGCTAGTTTTGAAAATCTCATTATAAAAATCCATATTTGGATAAAAGAACAATAAAGGGTAAAATGGTATAATTTCTAAATCAATTTTAATGTTCCCTCCATCCCTAATATCTTTGTGAAGTTTGACCTCCATAAACCGATTTAGAAGGTCACTTGACCAGTTGACCACATATGCCCATTCTTATTGATTTAAACAATTTCATTTTTATTTCCGTTTTCTTTTATATTCTATCCTCTTTCCTTTCCAAGGTTTTTCCTAAAATATCATTATAGTAAAATTTATGGATAAAAATGGGACTAATTTTGGTATGAGCATACATGCATGATCACGTACTCCACAAGAAAATTGAACATAATAACAATCACTAAAACTTATTACTATAGCCAACTTTTACCCACTATGTTCGTTCCATTCATATATTAATATTAAATATTAATAGTTCTTTCTTTCGTTTTCCTTCTAATTCACAGTTTCACACACAAGACCTACGAGTGAGCATTGCCGCAGATTCACACATTCGAAATTTATTCATGTCTATTCATGCAATTGGGAAATCACCTCTATACTCTTTTCATGTGTAGATTTATGAGTTGTTATTAAACTTATTATACTCTTTTTGTCGTTCTAAATTTGTCATAATTAGGCTGTTGCATAATTTAAGAATATGTGAGTCCAGATTACTCACTCGTTTTTACTGAAAGCTTTGTGTAATTGCTTAAAACTGTAGGTGTTTTATCATATTCTCAATTGATTAATGATATTTAATCATTTGTTCTGAAGAGAACAACACTAAATCCATTTCCTTTGTTAGTTTTATAGATTGCGTTTATAACTTTCCCATCACTCGAGCTGCAATGAAACTAGTAGGTGTAAAACAGGGAAAGAAATGAATGCTCTTAATGAGAGTGAGAGTCATTCTGTCCAGGCTTTGTGACCTGCAACAATAGATGCTAGAAGCAGAAGGGACATACATGGCTTTGTTTTTTAATTTTTTACCAGTTTAGTAAGTGAGAGCTCATTGGGGTCAATTAGGGAAGAATAGTCAGAATATTTTGGTATTATGCATACATCAAGTTAATATGAGAAGAGCGTTAATAGTTGGACTTATTCATGTGATATTTCCCCATTTTGTTTTTGCCATGCAGCTGTGAGCTATTTTTAAGTTCCGAATCATCGAGTCTCTGGCCACATTATTAATTTCTCTGGCAGCATGCCTTGGTTTGCTGATGGAGGCAACTCTTGAAGCTTCACATAAGCAGGTCTGTGAAAGTGGGTTTTGCACACCAAGAGGGGTAAACTAGGCACACCAAAATATCCTTTTTGCATTTGAGAAACATTGCAATGGCAAATGAATATAAATTCAATAGCAATGCATTGAAAAGGAAAAAATTTAAGCCAGAGGAAGTAATTTATATGAGTTCTGACTTCTGAGATATCAATGGAGGAATTAACAGCGGCTTTCTGCCTGTGTTTTTTTAGTCAGCTGATTGATCTCCGTTTGAACAACAATTAGTAGACACTGTGTACATCATTGTAGTTGATCCCAGTATGTCATCTTCGAATCCACATGCTCTAAAGAATGGCCTGATGGAAATATATGAGCGAAAATGAGTTCAACCTTGCAGTATGCACAGTTAAGGTAACAATGAAAAGAAGAGCACAAATCGTCCTCCAAGACAGCAGCATTTTGATGTTCATACAAGCGGAGTATTATATTTTATGTTAGATGACTTATTTCTGGTTTTTCGCATCTTCTGAGACAATATGCAAGAGGTCCTAAGATCACATTTTAAATGTCAATCTCATAGAGGTTCATTATTGGATCAAACACAATACATAAATAAATAAGACGGTTTTTCTATAATACGGAGTATTTCTAAAATTGAGCTCATGAACAAAATAAGTCTACACGTTACCGCGAAAAACAGTCATCGTCAGTGCAGTGTAATTGAACATCATTCAGGTCAGGGGCGTAGCTAGGGGGGTGGCCAGCCCCGGACCCGGCCTAGCTCAAATTTTAAAAAATGTCTGTATTTTTTGTGTAAGAAATTCCGTGTAATTTTTTTCCCAAAAATATTCTTTGTACCGGTCTAGTCCGGCCCAGTGCCCCTGATTGAGGTCATTAATGTCATTAAAGTAACTGGGAAAGTTCTACTATGTTCATTGCATAGTTAAGGTCATATTTTTGTCCACTATTTGTTAGCCATATATTTGAGGTTTTTTCAATAAATAAATTTAAAAAACTAGGTGTTACACTCTCTTTCAATGCCTAAGCTTTTTCAAGCTTAGGCTCTGCGCAACTCTACTTACATCCCATCTGATCTCGAGTTATCATCAGGCCCAAATCTGCCGATTAGCCAAACACTTCCTTTGACACTGATCTTATGTATCCTGTAAACAGAACCTCAAAAACAATGCACAAACATAGTCCATATATAATAAGACTAGTTAACTTACATCTCTACACTGGAGCAGAGAGCTGCTATATCATATATGCCTTTACGTGTAAGCATCCTGCAATTAGAAAAAAAAGCGACATAACTCAATTGTAAATAAGCAGTCAGTTGTAATTAATCCAAACAAACAGGAAATTGATCGCCGAAAGCTGGATGATCTCCAAAGTAATTGGGTACTAGAATTCAGCCCGTAAATAATATTTCGAGTATCTAATTAGAGAACAGAAACCTAATTATCGTCTGAACTATCCTCCTGCCAATGCCCTTCCCTCTTAATGATGGAATGACCTACAAATCACACAAATAGCCATAATTGTGCAGTCCAGCAGATCAAATATAAAAAAAGCATAATCTATACAGTTGGGAGAATTGGAGACAATGCAGATGTCTTAAATCTTAAGTTGGCATAATATAGCATTTCCTTCTAACAGAGTATTAAAGAGCTCAATTCCAAGCAAAATGTTGTACACTCCTTTTGAATATAGTTAAATTGCTGAAGAAAAAAGGTTGACCAAAGTAAATATATAGTATAATATCGGTCGCGGAAAAGGTAATGATCAGAGAGTATCAGACCATGACATCGTAGATGGAAGCAGTGAGCGCAGAATCGGATACTGCACGACCCAACCCAACCAGTTTGCCGTTGGACGGCGTCACGGGCGTCACTATCCGAACCAAATCTCCTCCAATACCAGACAAATGGGAGAATATTTCGGGTTGGGAAAATACCGCGATGAAAATGGAACTATGGAGAAGAGCTTTACGGAGTTTGTTGAGGTCGACTGGATCGACTCGGCCATCGGGGTCGATGTTGGGGAAGCGGCGGTAGCAAGAGTGATTGCAAGCAGAGTAAAGGTCGCGGACGCAGCGGATGTCAACGTCGTTTACTTTTGTAGTTATTGACAATGGCGGCTTGTTTCGGATTCCAGAGATGATTCGCCGCGATAATGGGAATTCGGAGGGGAGATAACCGCCGTGCACGGCCAGCAACATCAGTAGTTGTTTCCTGCAAACATTGATAAGATGGTAAATCGCGGCTGTCATTTTGTTTATTCGGAGAACAATTTTGTCCATCCAATGGACTTTGCAAAATTTACTTCAGAAATAAGAAATAAGAATAGTAAAAATTGTGTTGTTGAAGTTTGTGCAGAGGAGAAAAAAATGAGTAAAACTACAAAATAGTTACTTTAATGAGAAAGTGATAAAGTTTTTTGAGACAGCCAAAAAGGAAAGATGACAAAGTCCAATGGGACGGAGGGAGTAATTAGTTTCTTTTTTGTTTTAAGTTTTTCACAAAATATATCAATATTTTTATTTTTTTATGATCTTTCATATGATATCAGTATTGCATATGTAAAATTTAAAAAAAAAATCCAGCTAAAATAGAATTACTGTTGTAGGGAGAATTGTTGGTAGAATTTCATTACCGAAAGCCACTATAAATAGGGATAGAGTAGGGTTTACAAGTACGGGCCAATAGGCCCATAATACATTATTTACATAGAAAAGCCCTAATACATATTCTATCTAAATGATAGCACGTAACATAGGATTTCCTTCAACACTTCCCCTTGTGCTGAGTTGTAGATAGAATGTTGTATGTGTCTTGTTGCCTCTTCAAAACTCTGTCAAGTAACAAAAACCCTGTGGGAAAAACAACTTTGACCGGAGAAAAAGGAGTATAGCATCAAGATAGGCTTCTTCCATTAAATCTATCTTTATTTGATCTTTGCTTTGATCATTAAAGTTTATATGTATCGTTACTTCATTAAAAACCTTACCAAGTAACAAAACTAAGTGGAAAAAATTAAAACTTGGGTAAAGGAAAAGAGTGTAACGTAATCTAGTTGGGGTACTCCCCCTCAAATCTACATATACCCTTAATATTTACATTAATCAAGGGTGTTTGTAAAATATGTGCATTTCAATACTTGTCACATTAATTACCTTAGCGAAGGCACACAATAGAGGAATATAATTCTTTTAATTCTCCCCCTGTGTGTCGAGCGTAGGGAATTTTCCCAAATTATTAACTTGCTAAGACGTTGCCAATGAACAAAACCCAATGGGAAAAAAATAAACATCGGCCAAAGTGAGAAGGAAGTATGGTGCACTAATAACAATGCATCAATTACCTAAGATTGCGATATAAAAATTATGTTCTTTCTTCAATATTGTTTTACTTTCGCAAAATTAAAATGTGGGATGATGCATATTATGTTGTCTCATTAAAAAAAAACTTACCAAGTAACAAAACCCAATGGAAAAAAATAAACCTTGGTCAAAAAGGGAAAAGAAAAAGAGTACAACGCACCAATATAACTGATGATAAATAAGTATGTAAGAACTCCCCCTAAATGCAACACATCAATAAGAATTCGATATGTACTTGATATATACTTTTATCAAGGTATTCCGTATATAACATTTTGGTTTCTATCATGATAAATATATACTCAATTAAGAAAGTATCAATGAGGTAAGGAGATATCCATCATCGGTAAAACTCAAATCACGTTACTTTGTGTTAGAGTGATACTTTTGACATTTCCAATTCCTTTAGAAATATTATTATCATCAATCATTTAATTAATTGATAAGGGTTGAATAAAGATGACACCAATGGTTTCACATAGATATCAAAGTACATTCTTGATACTATTTCAATGATAATATATGTATTGGTCCTGAGCTATTTTTGGCTAACACGTTTTTAAGAATGTATTATTTGGTCGAATGTGTTTGTCAAAGTACAATCATGCGCATATTGCACTTTCATAGGGAATTCCTTCTCCCAATAATTTTCCAATAATGAATGTATTTTCTAGCATCCATATTTCGACCAATCATGGGAGTGCTAACAGTTTACATTTATCCAAGTTAATTTGCCTAAGAACCCTTTTGGATTTATGCAACTGGTGAATTATTATTCAACCAACTCGGTCTTTTCAAAATAACCTGAGTTTCCCAAGATCCTTTATCTCAATTATGACTTTCAAGTATCTAGGATTTCTCATTTTCTTTAATATGAGTACATACCATGTCTTTATCTTCGACATATAATGATACTTGGAGGGAAAGCATAATATATCTTTTTCTATCCCTTTTCAGTCAAGTGGTCACTTAGACGAGGTTGTCACTCTCGTCTGGATTGATTTAATCCAAATGTGAACGTTTCAATGTAAATATACAATGTAATTTAAAACCACTTGATTAAAGATAATAAAACATAACAAATACTTCATATACATCTCTTTAATGAAATTCTATTGAGACATTTAATATCCACAATCTTTAGCTGCGTCTCCATTACATTGGAGTCTACTTATGGATTAAGTAGTTGAACATTATTGTGTTCATATTTGAATCCAGGGCGTTGTGAGAATAATTAGGACATCATTATCTCAATACGCTTTCTAACAAAGAATTATTTCATGTCCTACAGGCTTTATACTTGGTTGATTAGCACTATCATACCAAATAATACGTGTCTCTTTGTCAAATATTAAATTTATACTTGGATTACTTGTACGCATTTAGGCCAATATTCTCATTGCTTTCATGTTGCAATAGAGTATGGTTCGATATCATCGTGCTCTATGCTCCTTTGAGCAACTGTATAAATATATCGTCAGTATAAGTGTAAGGTCTATCATTCGACTCATACACACTCTCTTTAACATTGAGATTTTAATTCTCTGAAATCATTTAAACTTCGGGGCGTCCTCCATTATTTATTCATGGACATATTTAGTCAGAGATAATCTCGTGAGAGGAATTCATATGATGACGAGTATATTGGTTTGTGCCTTATCTACCCTCTACTACTTGGGGTGGATAATTAATCGAACCATGTGGCTTCCCTTTATTCCTTTAGAGAGCCACGGCCGCAACCACAACCCCACTGCTTGTGATTGCAATGCTTCTTCCTTTAGCATTGTGTCTTTTAATTTAAATTTAGGGGTGGGCATAACGGTTCAGTTTGACTGAACCGAACCGTACCAAACTGAATTAAACCAAACCGAAACCGAACCATTTGTAATTTGGTTTGAGTTTGGTAGTATTCCTCCCAACCCGTATTAAACCGAACCAAACCGAACCGAAATCATATAACCGAATAAAACCGAACTAATCTAAAAAATGAAATAATTTCTTATTTTTAAAAAAATAACAAATCAAAACCAACTTACACCAAACTAAACCAGACCAAAATATAAGATTTCTCTCATTAATTTGATTGATATTAATCTTTTTGAAGCTTTAATTCTTTAATTTTAGTGTTCATGACTAGAGTTTGCTACAAGAGTTACATTCACAATTATAACAATTATAGTGGTTTAAGTAGATAGTATTTAACTATAATTTATTATCTACTACTACTATATATTTGGTTCATTGCTTACTAGCACCAGTTTTATTTTTGTTTCGGTTTTATATATGATTTGATTCATTGCCGTTGTTGTTGTCGCTTACAAATGTGTCATGCTTATATATTTTTGGTTCATATGTGTTTTGTTACTATTTGCAAATGTATATCTAACATTATATTTGGTTCATTACTATCGCTTCTTGGTTCATTATTTTGAATTAATTTTTTTATTTCAATCCAAACCTTAATACTTTGGTAAACCGAACTCCAAACCGAACTCCAAACCGAACCGAACCATACCAAACCGAAACCAAACCGAAACTTAATCGGTTTGTATTTGGTAGATTTTCTATCAAACCGACTAAACCGAAACCGAACCGAAATCGAAGAAAACCAAACCGAAAACCGAAATGCTCACCCCTATTTAAATTTAATCCTTATAAATATGTTTGCAGCTAGTGTGTATAATTTGATTACTTAAATATTTATGATAATTGATAAACACTTTAACTTCAATGTTACATTTTGAGATCTAAGATTTATCATTGAGACAAAGTAGTGATGTTCCATCATAATGATTTTGTCATTCAATTAGAGAGTTCTTTCTCTAATCTCCCCTTAATGACAGGAAAATCAATTGTCTCATCAAAGTGATATTCTGCAAAGCGGTGCACACATTATCTGTTAAGGCTAATAGCGGGTTATTGTTGGAGATTCGTATCCAACACAAAATCATTTGTTTTTTAAGACCAATTATAGTGCACTGTGGGAGGCGCACTGGGCACAGTTAGTTAACAACCATATATAATAAATATGTAGAACATCTCAGGCTAAGATCCAGTCACCAATTGGTATACATAAAAGTGGTTGTCTACTATCGATCTAAAAAGATAACAAATGTGTAAGCACTACAACAAAATGAACCTTTTGCAACGCCTCTAATCTGTTACATTAAATTGTTAATGTGTTACAAAAGGCTAATGTAACACTTATATGAGCGTTACTTCAGGTCTCGTTGCATAAAGTCATATGCAACACTTTGTAATATGTTATGCAACACTTTATATAAATGTTGCAAAAATAACCCAAATGCAACACTTTTTCTGATTATTTAACATGCATCTTATGCAACATTTTTTTAAATAAAATGCAACATCAATCTTTTATTTATGTAACATTTCTATTATACTAGTTTGCAACATTTTTTATATATAATGTAACATTTATAAGACTTATATGCAACACTTCTATAGTGTTTTAAGTAACCGTCTTCACTCTCGTCATTAACATGTTGCGCAACACCATTTTTATATTTTTAACAATTAATTAGATGGCTTTGACTTTCATTGTACTCCGTATGTATTACTCAAATCACATATTTTAATATTTCAATATACAATAACACTTTCAATAATATTAAGGGTAATAAATATTTAACATTGAAGAAAGTGTAATCATAACACCTTCAGATTGAGCATCAACGTTTTAAAAGAGTGCGTACATGAGTACATCCATATACAGAGTAATCTAAATTCACGGTGTACGGAATGAACTAGAAATCTAAAATACATCATAAAAAGCTAGTGACTATAACAAGGATCGGAAATGACAATAACGGACTCCATTATATGCCCAATTCATGGATCCCGCTCTTCCTAAAGACGATACTCATCACCCCTAGCATGTCCCTGCGAGAGAAATCA